CTCTCTCTCTCTCTCTCTCTCTCTCTCTCTCTCTCTCTCTCTCTTCCCCTTCGCCGACCACCACCTCTTCTTCCTTCCACCTGGACGGAACGTTCTCCGTTTTACTTCTGGCTCCTCTAACCGCTTCGTCCGGTGATCCAGTACGCTGCCCCTGTGTTCGCTTGTCCTTTTTAGTCGGACGGCGTTCGTCTTCTTCCTCCTCGCGCTCGATTCATCCCCTCCAGACATTATCGCGTTGGCTTTCCAGATTGTCTTCGTCCCTCCGCTCCTCCACTTTTAACCCTCTCCTCCTCTCCTTTCATCTCGCTTCTTTCTCTTTCTTTCTCTCTCTATCTCCCTCTCTTCTTCGCTCCTTCTCTCTTTCCTCCTGTCTCCAGCACGTTCCGCCTGTTCTTTCTGATTCCTCTATCTGGCTCTTAGATGATCCGGCTCTTAGCTCCTACCACGTTTAGCTTCTCTTCCCCCGGGGTTCCTTCTTATATACTTCGTTTATTTCTCTCGGCTCGAAACTGCCAGCTTTCCTCGCGCACCGGCCTCTACCTCTAGAGACTTCGTCTTCGCCAATTCGATCCTCTTCTCTCTCTCACTCTTTCTTCTGCTCAGTGTTTTCGTACCTTCTTCTTCTTTTCGTTTTCTTAAGTATTCCTTTGATCATTCTCGATCGGGCGCAGCCCAAGAGCGTTCGTCCAAAACGTTTCGTGTTGTTTCGTGATCGTTTCCCGGGCATTGGATAAATCAATCGCGAGGCTATGATCGCCGCTATTACGGTAATGCACCGTTGTAACAATCCCCATTCGATACATTGTACATTGCCTATCTATCTATCCGATTTCATCTTTAACGGCGAGTTATGGGAGAAACGGGGCTAATGCCTTCCAACTAGTCTCGCGTGCATTATTAATCGACCACGGATCGAGCCAATTTTTTTCTTTCCTCCCTCCTCCCTCTTATTTTTTTTTCTTCTTCTTCCAGCAATTCCTCATTACTCTCATACATATTCAATCGAATGGAAACGAGGAACGTTGTAGTTGAATTCCGTGGCTGAATCCGGTCCGTGTAATTCCGATTAATTTCGAGTTACGGGAAACAAATCGTTGCCTTGTTTGCTTTTTATCTCATTTGTAGGAGTAAAGATTTCTTTTGTTTGGAATATTTTAACGACGGTGTCATGCGCACACGTATCAATCTTGATTAATTAAAGGTGAAGGTTTGTGAGAAGAAAGAAATCAAGGTCAAGTGGTAAGATAGATAGAGCCAATCGTTGTATCATTGCGATTAATCGGTTTAAGGGACTCGAGGAAAAGAATCTCGGGGAGAAAAAATAATTTACAGAAACGTTAGAGATTCTCGATTACTCTCGATTAAATTATAACATCTTCGTATAATACATAATTGAAAATTTCGATTCGAGGCTTCATAGAATAAATTCATAACTCTGCTTCGTCCGTTCTATTGCTATAATCCGCAATAAAAATATTCCATTGGCAAATTAAAATATTCTCCCGGCTGATTGGCGATTCGTCACACGAAGTTACGATATATTCCATTTAAACAAAATTAATTCTTCTGGCTGAGATTCGATCGAGATTAATATTTCGTCGAACAATATTGAACAATATTTTAATGACTCGTGAACGAGATTAAATGATCCTTCTTCTGGCTCTCGTTCAATCAAGATTGGCGATTCGTCACGCAGCGTGAGTTGTGCAAACAGGAAGCGGAAGAGCGAGATGCAGAAGGGGTCCGGCCTTGCGGAGAAAGGGACGAAGGAACTCCGCGAGAATATCGATTCCACCCCACGCTGCTTTTTCCTCCGCGATGGAGAACGGTGGCGTGCATGCGCGCCGTGAATCAAGTATTCATTTTTCGTCGGGTTCGTGAGGAGGTCGGTTGCGCGTCAACGTGCTCTCGGGGCGATCGTTAAGCCTCATTATGTGCCGATCTTTCAGCGGATAGGGAGGCAACGAGAGAGGAAAAAAAGGAAAGGAGGGAGGGAGGAAGGGGAGAAAAATGTCAGCTCGTAAATCGTCGGTCGGGTTAAGTTAAAGTGCGTCAACATCGATCCGTGACTTCCTAGTTTTAACAGCGATTTTCACGCGCAGAAACCCCTCGCAACCCTCTTCGATTAGATCTTGATCGGACGGGGAGAAACAAAGACGATCGATAGAAATTTAGGGATTCGTCCTTTTCCTCGTAATTTTCATTTACAAACTTCGCAAAACTTCGTTAGAATCGAAAGAATTAAGCGAGATGAGATCAAAATTTCGCTTTTGTTTCTATCTCCTTTTAAGAGATAGATAAGAATTACTTCTTTAATGAAGTTATAGAATAGTTTTCACGTTACGGAGAAACGTTGTTTTTATTTGGCCGTTTAAGGAACTTGTTTGTGCAGAAGTCGTTCTTGATTCTCCGTATGATATATCGGTTTTGCCGTTTATTATTCCTTCTCCATTGGCAAAAGTGCAATTTATTTCCGACTAATTCCGGATTCACAACGCGCCTTTTCCTCGGGAGAACGCGGAAACCTATGCTAATCCGATCGAACCCTACCAGGATGGTATCTTGCCAATGTGTTGCGAAGCGCGTGCAAAACCTTTTAAGGCTTCCTCCGGTGGAAATTATATGTCATTTATAGAAATTAAAGGCCGAGAGCTACTGTCCAAACAATATTTATTCGCAACATTTACGATCGATTCGAATTTACAACAAATTGTAAATTATAAAGTGATATATCATTCGTGATGATGAACTTTTCTGAATTTCTCCTCCGATCCTGAAATAAAATAATTATGTGAGAAACATAATAAGGAAAAGACAGTAAGCTTTCTTGCGAGCGATATCCAACATCGTCTCTTTCGCATACGATGATTATCTCGTCAAGTGGAAATCGTCGAATTATAAAATATATCACTTTTTCCATATTCTTTTTTTTTCAAATCATCCCCAAAAGTCCATAGCATCAAGAAATATCCTCCACCGTTCCTTCTCGAAACGAAGCTCGAGATCCATGGATTAAAAGTGTCTTCGATCGCCTTCGATACCCAAACTCGTTACTCGACGACTCCCTCCGTAAATTTCGTTAACGCGAGCTATCTTGCATTCTCGCGTTAACGAGCATCCACGTGCTTGTTAGTATCCCCGCGTATGTGCATTAAAACGAAGCCGAATTCCGATTCGTAGGCAGACCGCTCTCGTTCCTCTCTTGGTCGACGCAGCCACACCGATTAACTGACCCGTAGATTTTAATTGTATGCCGGATAAATGCGAGCCAGACGACAGAGAGGGAGAAAGAGAGAGAGAGAGTGCTCGTTTAGAGGATTAAACGTTTGTTTTCCCGGCTAATTTGCGGTAATGGTATTTGAAAGCGATGGATGGATTAGTTCGTGATGCGATGAGTGGTTGCAGTTTTCAACGGATCGGTTATTATCGGTGGTAAATAGTAATTTTGTACGGAATTAGAGTGTACGGTTCGTTAGCGAAATACGAGAGAGAGTTTGAAAAATAAATATCTGGATAGATATCGTGGTATTTAATCGTGATAGAGATTCAGAATCTTTTAAATGGATTGCGCGATTTTGATATATCTATATTCTTTTCTAATTTCTTTACTCGTCTTTCTTTTATTTATTGTTCTTTTTTTTTGCTTTTATCCATTTCCCATCTTCTTATTCAGCATTTTAATTAAAAATTAAAAGCTTAAATATCTATCCGTTAATATAACGCAAGAGTTATTATTATAACCGATATTTCGTAATTTAAACTGACTCGATATCGAATCGGCAATCGTTGATTAATAATAGCGTGGACGAGCCACAAATCAAACTTTTCCCGCTAACTACTCGAAAATATCATCGTGTTGATTATGAACAAATAGCACACGAGCGGCATTT